ATATGGTGAGCGTTTTAATTTGGCGGAATGATTAAAAAAAATCGCCAATTTAAATAGTCGCCAAAATCCCAGAGAATTTGTCCTTTTTCAATTGGTGAACTTCCAGTTTTAGGATGGCCTTGGCCATTTGAATTGTTTGATTTAGAGTATTTTAAATTGTTCATCAAGACCAATTGAACTGGATTAGATGGGAGGGTGTATGATAGCTAGATATGAGATTAATCCCTTGAAAACTGCCATATTAAATAGACAACCGGTATGTCTGATATCCCAAATTTGCCAAATTAAGTAGCACCAAATTAAAGACAAATACAGTTCCTAATCTTAAATCTTTAGGTCAACAATAATAACTCAGAAGTTTTAATATTGTGTTATAATATCATGTTTTTCAGGTTGTTCGAGCAAAAGAGAGAATAGACACAGAATTAGACATAGAAACAAAACAAGAAAACACTACAGACTCTAATGCCAGTGATAAACCTAAGGATTCTTGATAATACAAGATTCATTTTAGGAAATTTTAACATATTCTAGTAGTCAAAAATCAACATGTTCCACAAATCAGTCACAACTTAGTAGGTCTGATCGCAGACTTTCTGCAAGTTCATGGACATCATAGTCTGATTTGGCAATTTACACAAATTGTTGAGTTTGTTTTGTAATAATAACAAGCAGTACCATTTGACTTGTATTTTATATTTATTACAGTGTATATATAGCATTCAATATATTCTGATCAAAGAATATTATTTTCGCATATTAATATAGCATTCATGTAATATCTCACTGTGTGGTTTCTTTGAAGTAGAGCTAATGGTGCTGACTATTCTAGAGTAAAAAGTTAAACCTTCCCAAGCCTTTGTTGTTGCTATGGGAATTATGACATCATTTGACATCATTATAGGATTAGATAACTTAATGCAGTAACATACATGATATGAATTGAATGATGAATAAATAAATATTAGGCCTACAATAACAATTCTACATATTTTGTTTTGTAATGATTGCAGAAGTGATAGAATTCTACACATTTAGTTACATATCTTGTAGAAGATTGTCCTCAAATTGTTTCTCATTTTTGATATGATTTGATATGCATACAAGTTTTCAGAATTAGGTTTCTATTGAGGCACAGATCCTTCAGAAATGTGGTCTTTCAGGATTGTCATGTCACCAAGTCTCATTTTCAGTTGTATATAAATCCAATGGAGTAGCTCAAGTAACAAATTCTGATTTGTTGTTTCACAGTATACAAGAGGTGATAAAAGACTATTCTCGGTTTGGAGAACAAAGTTCATCTCTAATTGAGCGTTACCCCTGCTTCGGACAAGTTAGTTTTTTTTACATAATAAGGATTTGAATGTGTTCTTTTGAATAGTCACTATTTGATTTGGGTGATATTTCTAGATTTTTCATTAAAAAGTTCAATGAACTTCTTTCTCCAAATTGAGACTTGGATTTTATTAAATCAGTTTAATGCACTTTACAATTGTGATATTTTTACAGCTTGTAGATTTAAATGTCATATTTTGAATATTCATTTGGATGATATTTCTATATTTTTTCATAAAAAGGTATTAGCCCGGGAGACTGTTCTCCAAACGGAGACTTATCCTTTAACATAAAGAATACAGTAAAACCTGTATATTTGAACACCTCTCAATGCGAACACTTTGTAATTTTCTATTGAGTCCCTTGTTAAAGAAACCTTGAAACATGAACATCCAAATCCAAACACGTTTGTAATGATATGTAGTGATTGTGTTATTGTGTTACCCATAATGCATCGCAACTCCCATGATGCAATATTCACGTGTAATAAACCGGAAGTTGAAACCACAGAAAATGTCGTGTTAGATCATTATATGGTACTGCGGGTAAAAAACCGAATATAATACACTATTTCTACAATGGATCTAAGATCAATATCAGCACCGTCTAAAATGGACTTTGGCCAAGATCTGGAGCGTAACTGGAGAAACTTTATAAGAGACTTCGACTGGTATTTGAAGGCAATCGGAGACCTCGCAAAAGACGATGCTCAAAAAATTGGTTTGCTCATCACTACTGCAGGACCAAAGGCAGCCCAGATTTACGAATCGTTCACCTGGGAGGGTAAGGATAAAACCAAATTTGCAGATGTTAAAACGCAATTTAATGACTATTGCATCCCTCAAGTAAATGAGACGTATGAACGTTTCGTCTTTAGAACGAGATATAAGGAGTCCACAGAGACATTTGATGAGTATTTAGCAGATTTGAAGTTGAAAATCTCAACCTGTAATTATGATGCGCAAGAATCCTCATGTTTAAGAGACCAGTTAGTTATTGGCATCAACAATGATAGAATCCAGGAACGACTACTCCGAGAGACGACATTAACCGTTACCAAGGCTGTTGAAATTTGCCGTTCTTCGGAAATTGCCCATAACCAGGCGAAGAAAATCGCTGGAGCAAGCAAACCTGCTGAAGTAAGTCAGGTTAAATATATACAAAACTGTAACTTTTGCAATAGAGGCCATGAAAGTCGTAAATGCCCAGCTTATGGCAAAACATGTGTATCTTGTAATGGAAAAAATCACTTTTCTGGTGCAAGGAAGTGTCCAGCATTGAAATCAGGGAAATCATCGTCGCGACCCAGTTCCCAGACTGAGAGACACAAAGGTCGTCGCAAAGGTGGTCGTCGTAGAACTGTACATCAAATATCTGATGATTCGTCAAGCTGTAGTGAGGAAGAATTCTTCATAAATATCATAAACATTCGTGATGATACCAACAAACATAGTGATAATCCACAGAGTGATAATCCACATAGTGATATACAGAGTGATAATCCACAGAGTGATATTATACAGAGTGATATACAGAGTGATAATCCACAGAGTGATATTATACAGAGTGATATACAGAGTGATAATCCACAGAGTGATATACAGAGTGATAATCCACAGAGTGATATTATACAGAGTGATATACAGAGTGATAATCCACAGAGTGATATACAGAGTGATAATCCACAGAGTGATATTATACAGAGTGATATACAGAGTGATAATCCTCATGGTGATGGAATACAGGCCATAATAATGCCTGATGTTCATAGTGATTCAGTTCAAAATATGATACAGGCCACAATAATGCCTGATGATGCTTCAGAACAGGCAACAATGCCTGATTGTAATGTGTCAGATGACACTGGTGATGTAAATGTGAATATGGTAGGCACATCAGCTCCTGCATCCAATGATCCATGGGTAGCACCTCTGGTAATAAACAATACAGTGATACCAGTGAAGTTGGATACAGGGGCTAAGGCCAATTTATTGTCTATGTCTGACTACAATCTGTTAAAGAAAAAGCCTAAAATTGTCAAGAAACATATGTCACTCATTGATTATAATGGATCACCTATTGATAGCAAGGGTGTTTGTGTGACACAGGTTTGTTGCAAGAAAGTTTGCTACAATGTCATGTTTGTATTGGTTAGCAAAGGTGACACCATATTAGGTCAGAAATCTTGTGAACACCTGAATCTTGTTCGAAGAATATATACTGTCAATAAACATGATCAGAAATCTGAAAATATGCCAGATTTGTCTGGTACATATGATGTACACCAATGTAACTCTGGTAGTAGTGTGTCTGATGGCAATTCTCAAAATGTATCTAGTATTGAAAATGTAGAGAAGTGCTATCCGACAATGTTTAAACCTATAAGTGAGAATACATGCATGCCATTCACATACAAAATAAAATTGAAAGAAAATTCAGAACCTGTCATACATGCTCCGAGAACAGTTTCACAACCTTATAAAGATAGGGTTAAAGAAAATTTAGACAAATTAGAAGATACAGGTATAATAAGAAAAGTGAATCAGCCCACAGAATGGGTAAATAGCATGGTATGTGTTCACACTCATGATAAGGTGCGTACAACTATTGATCCATCTGATTTGAATGCATGTGTAATGAGGCAACATTATCCTCTCCCAAAGAAAGATGCTATGATCAGTGAAATGTCAGGATCCAAATATTTTTCAAAACTTGACGCATCCTCGTCATTCTTTCAAATCAAGCTTCACCCTGAGTCCCAATTGTTAACCACTTTTAACACCCCCTGGGGCCGGTACTGCTATAATAGACTCCCACAAGGTTTATGTTCTAGTCCTGAAGTATTCCAACATGCCATGAATGAGGTACTAGAAGGAATTGAAGGAGTTCAAGCCTACATAGATGACATTTTAGTATGGGGTCGTACAATTGAAGAGCATGATACCAGACTTAGGAAAGTACTTGAGCGACTGAACCGCTACAATGTGAAGCTGAATAGAAAGAAGTGCAGCATCAAAGTCACAGAGATAGATTTCCTTGGAGAAACTCTGACAATAGATGGAGTACGTCCTAGCAAAAGACGTATTGAAGCTATTCTACAAATGAAAAAGCCTTCTAACAAACAGGAACTACAAAGATATTTTGGAATGATCAACTTTGTGAGAAAGTTCATTCCTAACATGGCAAAATTAACCACACACATGAGAAAACTTCTTGAGTCTGATGTTCAGTGGCACTGGAACACAGAACATGACCAGGAATACTACAAATTAGCGACAATCTTGACTACAGATAAAGTCTTAGCCTACTATGACCCAGAAAGAAAGACAAAAGTGAGCACTGACAGTAGTAAGGACGCACTTGGAGTTGCTGTTCTACAACTACATGGTGAAGATTGGAAGCCTGTAGCTTATGGTGCTCGCTCATTGACTTCAACTGAACAAAGATGGGCGCAGATCGAAAAAGAACTGCTAGGCCTAACATTTGGGTGTGCCAAATTCGAATACATGATATATGGACTAAGCAAGTCAAAGCTAGTACTGGAGACTGATCATAAACCCCTTATATCAATAGCAAAGAAACAGTTAAATAGCATGACTCCTAGAATTCAGCGCTTATGGATGAAATTGCAACGATATGATTTTGAAATCATCTACACCCCTGGCAAAGAAATTGTCATCGCTGATACACTCTCAAGATCTGTAGTGCCATGTCCCCCTGATCAAGTCACTAAGCAAGTTGACAAGCAGGTAGAACTACAAGTAAACATGGTCATGAGGTCAGTTCCCGCTTCACAGTCAATGATGCAGAAAATTGCTCTAGCCTCTGAGGAAGACCCAATATTATCCAAAATCATCCAGCATGTAATTCATGGATGGCCTAGAGGAAACTACAAAGAACTTGTATACTTCCAGATGAGGAGTGAATTGACAGTAGCTGATGGTATCCTAATGAAGGGCCCTTGCATGGTTATTCCGCATTCCATGAGATCTGACATGCTTGACAGACTTCATGAAGGGCATCTTGGGATTGAAAAATCCAAGCAGTATGCGAGAACATGCATGTTTTGGCCAGGAATCACAAAGGATATTACTAGAATGGTAAACTCTTGTGAAGCATGTTTGAGACACAGATTCAGTCAACCAAAACAACCCCTGATAACTGACAAAACAGATGCTCCATGGGACAAAGTAGGTCTAGATCTCTTCCAGTTACATAACAGAGATTATGTCATAGTGACAGACTACTATTCTTCCTACCCAGAAGTATGTCCTTTAACCACAACCAGTACTTCAGCTGTTATAAATCAAATGAAATCAGTCTTCTCACGCCATGGAATACCCAACACTGTTAGAGGAGATTCTGGATCACAGTTTGAATCTGCTGAGTTTGCAGAATTTGCACAACATTATGGATTTGAAGTTAGCTTATCTAGTCCTTACCACCATGAAGGGAATGGAAAGTGCGAAAATTCTGTGAGAACTGTGAAAAGGTTAATGAAGAAAGCAGTGGAATGTAAACAAGACCCTTACTTAGCTATACTTGCATATAGAAATGCTCCCTTACA